CTCCCCACCATCACAGACATCTACACCTCCAGATGCAGGAAGAGGGCCACCTGCATCATGAAGGACCCCACCCACCCAGCACACACACTTTTTGCCCCACTCCCCTCAGGAAGGAGGTTAAGGAGCATTAAGTGTAGAACCACTAGACTGAGGAACAGCTTCTACCCTGAGGCTGTTAGACTCATGAATCTCTAACTAGAATAATCACTGTGAAAAACCATATCATGTTGCTGCTGATCTGTTTCATGTTGCTGCTGATCTGTTTCAATGTTGATGTGTTCATGCGTGCACATCTGCTCACAGACTCATGTTCATGTTTGTGCTGATGTTCAATGTTTTATGTTATGAGTGCTTAGTGTATATTTAGTTGATGTTTTTCTTAGTTCATATCTTAGATGTTATTACTGTTTTTCTTATACATTTTATTGTTGGATGTAACTGGGACCCCGTGTACATAATTTCGCTCCACCACATGTACCACATGAGGTGCGAATGACAATAAAGAAACTCTGACTCTGACTCTGATGAGCTTTCTTGATCAGGCTGGTGTTGTTGCTCCAGCTGAGGTTGTCATTCATGTGTACACCCAAGTACACATGAAACCTTGGAAGAAATTATCAACTTTAACCCGGCCACCCGTGGGGCTGTCTTCCTTCTATTGAATCATTCAAAACGGTGCTTTATACAATACTGCGAGTCAGTGGTCCTCAACCCCCGGGCCGCGGACCGGTACCGATCCGTGGGTCAATGGGTACAGGGCTGCACAGAAGGGGAAAAAAAGTTTTCTTTTGAAAAATCACTGGATTGTCTCGACCACATCAGTGTCTTTAGTCACTCTTGACGCAGGTCAACATACACCAGTGGTCAGTTTCAGTTTGTGCTGCATGTGCAGATCAGTTCTACACTGCTGGTGAAGAACAAAGCAATTCAGCTACGTGGTCTGGAGCAGACAGGTGGAGGTGTGCAGCCGTATCTGTCATTTTGAAGGATCACTGCATACTTTTCAGCACGCCTGACAAAGATTGACTGTAAAACTATAACTAAATAAAAGTATAATTTTAACAAGCTTCCTAACATGGTGATTGGTGATCAGCTGAGTGCCGAGTGCTGCGCTGCACGGGAGTTAAAAACTTATCAAACAATCAAACATTTAGGAGGAAGAGCAGGAAACAAAAAAAGAAAAATGAAGAACACCAAAAAGACAGAAAGTGGTAAACCAGGCGTAAGAAATTTTTTATTTTAAGTGAAAGAAAAAGTTTGACGAAGACTTCCGCCTTCCGCCCTTGGCATTGTCTCGCTGGATTTGCTCCAGTAGACTGGCTGGTGAGGGCCGCTAGGCTTCTCCGGCGGGCTGTGGGTGGACGCGGTGGACGACGCTGCGCTACTCCGGCGGGCTGTAGGTGGACGACGCGGACCACAGTTGGACCATCTTGTCGGGGACGTGAGCTCCGGTGACAGCTGCTGCGCTTCTCCATCAGGCTGTGGGTGGACGACGCGGGCTACCATTGGACCGGCTTTGTTGGGGTCGTGGCTCCGGTCTGTAGTTGTTGGATTTGTGTGCCTGCTGGAGCTGACCTTCCATGGCTGGTCCTGCGGACTGTTGGATCCGCTCACCGATCTGGTTATTGTAGCTGCTAGGTCGCAGCTACCAGCTAAAGGTTGGTGAACATCGTGATCAGCCTTCGACTTTCGTCTAGCAAACTGAAATCTTAACAACATTAGGACAGAAAATTGATGAAAAATGTCAAATAAACGTGGACAAAGGAAGCAAGAATCACTGGTTGGGAATTGGGAAGATATGGAGGAGATTAAGAAATCATTAAACTTTATGAGTGCTGAACTAACAAGGTTAGCATCTCAACAAGAACTCCTGGTTGGATTGATTAATGAAGTAATACAATTAAAAATACAAATAACTAATAAAGACAATAAAATAGCTGAACTTGAAAAAAAAGTTGATTATCTGGAGCAAGACGCAAGACTAAATAATCTAGTGATAACTGGACTTGAAGTCAAGCGCCGGTCATATGCACAGGTTGCTGCAGGTGCTGACACAACACGGGATGCACAGCAGGATGAGCTGCGGACTTTGGAGGAGCAAGTGGTGTCTTTTTTCCAAGATAAAGACATTGATGTGGACCATGAAGACATCTCTATCTGTCACATCTTGCCCAGTAAAGTCGATAAATCCAAACCATCAATAATTATGAAGTTCATAAGTAGAAAATGTCAGGGTTTTCGGGTCAGGGACGAACCCAGTAGTGCAGACAGGGACTCAACTCGGCAGAATTACAAAAAAGAGATATTTAATAATAAATAAAAAAATACAAAATAATAGGCTGACGAGGCAGCACAACTTACAAAACAGGATGAAGGCACGGGAAGCTCAGAGGGACTCAGGAAACTCAGGGAACTCAGAAGACTCAGGAGAACATAGTGACCCAACGAAGACGACGCGACAAAGAACAAGACTGAACAGACGGCTTATATACAGGGACAAGACGAGACGTGATTACAAACAGCTGTGACAAGACAAGGGTGGCACCAATTGAACTAAAGAGAAAACACTAGGGAACACAGACACAAACCGGGCCACCAAATGGTACCATCCTTACAGTACCCCCCTCAAGGACACCACCAGGCGTCCCCAAAACCCCCCCCCCCCGAAGGACTTGGGTGGGTGCAGGGTGGCACTGCAAGGGTGGAGGGCCCGAGGAAACACAAGGAAGAAACCAAAGACCTGACAAAACTACGGCAAAACACAAGCAGGGAACAGAAAGGATTTGGACGGTCAAGAGACCGTCCCTAGAAGTCATTGTTCCGGCGGGCGGCCGGGAGGCCGTCCATCATGGGAACCACGTTCCGGGAGGCGGCCGGGAGGCCGTCCAATACGTAGGAGATCCGGCGGGCAGCCGGGAGGCCGTCCATCAAGCCGGGCCAGGTCAGGGGGGTGGCCTGGAGGCCGTCTATCACGAGAACCACGTTCCGGGGGGCGGCCGGGGGGGCGGCTGGGAGGCCGTCCAATACATAGGACCAGAGAGGCCGCGGCATGCGGCGATGACAACTTGGAGGCCACATCTGGCGGCGGTGAAGAGACCTTGGAGGCCGCATCTGGCGGCAAAGAGACCTTGAAGGCCACATATGGCGGCGAAGAGACCTTGAAGGCCGCATCTGGCGGCAAAGAGACCTTGGAGGCCGCATTTGGCGGCGAAGAGACCTTGGAGGCCGCATCTGGAGGCGAAGAGACCTTGGAGGCCGCATCTGGCGGCGATAACGACTTGGAGGCCGCATCTGGCGGCGAAGAGACCTTGGTGGCCGCATCTGGCAGCGAAGAGACCTTGGAGGCCGCAGCATGCATCATGGAGTGCTGGGGAGCTGCAGCATGCGCCATGGAGACCTGGGGAGTTGCTGCTGCTGTCACGGAGGCCTGGGGAGTTGCTGCTGCTGTCACGGAGGCCTGGGCAGTTGCTGCTGCTGTCATGGAGGCCTGGGGAGTTGCTGCTGCTGTCACGGAGGCCTGTGGCTCTGCAGCAGACGACGGAGAGGCCTGTGGCTCTGCAGCAGACGACGGAGAGGCCTGTGGCTCTGCAGCAGATGACGGAGAGGCCTGAGGCTCTGCGGCAGGAGCAGGAACTGAATCTTCTGCGGCAAGAGCAGGAACTGAATCTTCTGCGGTAGGAGCAGGAACTGAATCTTCTGCGGCAGGGGCAGGAACTGAATCTTCTGCGGTAGGAGCAGGAACTGAATCTTCTGCGGCAGGAACAGGAACTGAATCTTCTGCGGCAGGAGCAGGAACTGAATCCTGTGGCAGGAGCAAGAACTGAATCTTCTGCGGTAGGAGCAGGAACTGAATCTTCTGCGGCAGAAGCAGGAACTGAATCTTCTGCGGCAGGAGCAGGAACTGAATCTTCTGCGGCAGGAGCAGGAACTGAATCTTCTGCGGCAGGAGCAGGAACTGAATCTTTTGCGGCAGGAGCAGGAACTGAATCTTCTGCGGCAGGAGCAGGAACAGAGTCTTCTGCGACGGCGGCAGGAACGGAGTCTTCTGCGACAGCGGCAAGAACGGAGTCTTCTGCGGCGGCGGCAGGAACGGAGTCTTCTGCGGCGGCGGCAGGAACGGAGTCTTCTGCGGCGGCAGGAACGGAGTATTCTGCGGCGGCAGGAACGGAGTCTTCTGCGGCGGCGGCCGGAACGGAGTCTTCTGCGGCGGCGGCAGAAACGGAGTCTTCTGCGGCGGCGGCAGGAACGGAGTCTTCAGCGGCGGCGGCGGCAGGAACGGTGTTCTGCAGCGGCGGCAGGAGCAGGTGCGTAATCCATCTGGCCCCCCTCGGAACAGGAGAGGTGAGGAGCGTCTGCCGGAACCCCCTCGGAACAGGAGCGTCTGCCGGGACCCCCTCAGAACAGGAGAGGTGAGGAGCGTCTACCGGGACCCCCTCGGAACAGGAGAGGTAAGGAGCGTCTCCTGGGACCCCCTCGGAACAGGAGAGACGAGGAGCGTCTGCCGGAACTCCCTCGGAGCAGGAGAGGTGAGGAGCATCTGCCGGAACCCCCTAGGAACAGGAGAGGTGAGGAGCATCTACCGGGACCCCCTCGGAACAGGAGAGGTAAGGAGCGTCTGCCGGGACCCCCTCGGAACAGGAGAGATGAGGAGCGTCTGCCGGAACCCCCTCGGAACAGGAGAGATGAGGAGTGTCTGCCGGGACCCCCTCGGAACAGGAGAGGTGAGGGGCGTCTGCCGGAACCCCCTCAGAACTGGAGAGGTGAGGAACGTCTGCCGGGACCCCCTCGGAACAGGAGAGGTGAGGAGCGTTCGCCGGGGCCCCCTCGGAGCAGGAGAGGTGAGGAGCGTCCGCCGGGACCCCCTCGGAACAGGAGAGATGAGGAGCGTCTGCCGGGACCCCTTGGGAACAGGAGAGATGAGGAGCTGACTTGGGTTCAGAAATAGCGGTGACTAAATGGGCCTTTAAAGTCCTTATCTGTGACAGCAACTGACTGTATTCAGGAAGCCGTGCAAGACCAGGCACAGTCAATAAAAAATCCTCCATCATGGAAAATATGACGTCGGCGGAAGCCGGGTTGTCCCTAGCTGCACGGAACAAACCCAGCAAAGTACGGTTTATTTGTAATATTTCATAGGGTGAAAATGAGAGTATGGATGGAATGTCTCTATGTGGAGGTGTGGTGATGGGTACCGCCCCCACCGGAAACCTAGGAGGTGGGGCGGCAGAACACGCCCCCACAGAGTCACTGGGAGTAAGCTCGGGAGGTACGGTCAGGCTGGGTCGGGCAGCCGCGGCGCGGTGTGGCGGTGAGAGGCCTGATTCTGCCCTCACCAGGAACCTGGAAGGTGAGGCGACGGAATCCGCCCCTGTGGCGTCAAGTGGATCGGACTTGCCGAACCGAACAGGAGTGGACTGGAGCTCCCGCGGAACGTTGGATCTCGCCCACACCGGAAACCTGGGAGGTGAGGCGGCGGATCCCGTTCCCACAGAAACACCGGAACCAGCTCTAAAAATCTGCTCAGCCGACGTGACCGGGCCGGGCGCCGCGGACTGCCTCCGGAGCCGCTTTCCGCCTCTATGGCGGCAGCGGGACGGCAGAAGAACGGGGACAGAGTGGAGCTCGTCCATCTTAGCTCGCGGAGGGAAAAAGAAAAAAGGTGAGTTTGCCGAGAGAGAACCCTGCCCGCTGGGTTCTGGTATGGTCGCGTCGTAATGTCAGGGTTTTCGGGTCAGGGACGAATCCAGTAGTGCAGACAGGGACTCAACTCGGCAGAATTACAAAAAAGAGATATTTAATAATAAATAAAAAAATACAAAATAACAGGCTGAAGAGGCAGCACAACTTACAAAACAGGATGAAGGCGCGGGAAGCTCAGAGGGACTCAGGAAACTCAGAAGACTCAGGGAACTCAGAAGACTCAGGAGAACACAGGGACCCAACGAAGACGACGCGACAAAGAACAAGACTGAACAGACGGCTTATATACAGGGACAAGACGAGACGTGATTACAAACAGCTGTGACGAGACAAGGGTGGCACCAATTGAACTAAAGAGAAAACACTAGGGAACACAGACACAAACCGGGCCACCAAATGGTACCATCCTTACAGAAAAGCTAGAAATAATGTAATAATGCAGGCAAAAACATTGACTGGAACAAAGATTTACATAAATGAACATCTAACAAAGAAAAATGGAAACATTGCATGTGAGGCAAGGTTGTTAAAAAAAACAAAATAAAATAACATCAACATGGACAAGAAATGGAAATGTTTGGATCAAAGTGCGTGAAGGGTCTCAACCAAAAATAATAAAAGAACTGAAGGATTTGGAAAAAACTTAGATGATTTTAAGATAAGATTAATTAAAATTCATTTAAATAAGTCTTACTTTGTCTTTTCTTTCTTTCTATCCTATTAAAAAAAAAAAAAAAAAAACTACACTAGATAGTCACTAGAATAAATATTTCATAATAATGGTGTGGAGAGGATGGCTGTAAGGGGAGAAGGGAGGCCATCTAGAAAAAAAATAAATAAATAAATAATTTAAATAAATTTGCATCAAAAAAAAAAAAATTTGACAAAATGTACAGTCTGAAGAACAAGTACATTTAACCATGACAATATACAAAGACACAGAATCAAAAATATATAGCATTGAAGATGTGATTGATACAGATTTCTTTCCAGTTATAAAAGATTGTAAATATTACAATGAAGATCAGTTTAACGATATCAATATAACAAATGGAGGTCTTTCTATCATTCACTTTAACAGTAGAAGTATAAATACAAATATAACCAAAATAATAGACTATTTAAAAGAATTAAACAGAACATTTGATATAATAGCACTGTCAGAGACATGGCTCAATGATGTAAATACAAGTATTAATTTTGATGGGTATGAATTATATCATACAAACAGAAAAAGTGGAAGGGGTGGTGGAGTCGCTCTATTTGTTAAGAATGAAGTAAAATGCAAATTGATTAGTGAAATGTCAATAATTGTTGATAATGTAATGGAAATGGTAATAATAGAAATAATAAGCAGGAATGATAAAAACATCATAGTAAGTTGTGCATACAGATCACCAAGCTGAAAGATAGAAATATTTACTGATAAAATCATGGAGCTATTTGAAAAGAACTTCAACAAAAAAACACTTTTGTGTGGAGACTTTAACATTGATCTAGGAAATTCCTTGGATGCAAATAACACCAGTACATTCATAAATACAATGTATAGTTTAAATCTTTATCCGTTAATATCCAAACCCACAAGAATTATAACTCACAGTGCTACAATAATTGATAACATTTTCACAAATATAACAAATGGGGATGTGATAGGTGGTATCCTTATTACTGACCTAAGTGATCACTTACCAATCTTTACAATCTACAAAAATGATCAAAATACCATAAAAGCAGAAAATAAAAAGAACAAAATAATAAACATATCTAAAAAAGCATTAGATAGATTAAAAGAGGACTTAGATAAACAAACTTGGGAAAACGTGTATGTTGATGATGTGAATACATCATATAACGAGTTTATGAATATTTTAGAAACTCTATATGAAAAAAATTGTGTGAAAATAAATTATACTAGAAAAAATACTGTTGACTAACCATGGATGACGAAAGGACTGAAAAATGCTTGTAAAAAAAAGAACTATTTGTACTCATGCTTTCTAAAATCAAGAACACAAGAATCTGAAGAAAAATATAAGCGGTATAAAAACAAATTAGTAGGAATTATAAGAAAACACAAAAAGGAATATTATAGTGGTTTATTAAATAAAAGTAATGGTGATATTAAAGCAACATGGCGAGTAATGAATAATGTTTTGAAGAATCATAAATCAAAGATTGGTATCTCACAACATTTTGTAAAAGATAATGGTGAAATTTATGATGATAATGAAATGGTTAATGGATTTAATCAATATTTTGTGAATGTTGGATCAAATCTTGCAGGCAAAAGACCTAAAGTAAATAATATAGTGAACCATCCAATTATTAGTTGTGCAAACAGTATTTAT